TGGCCCCCCGATGCCCCCCCCCGGGAGAACCTTGCCCAGCCCCTCTATCCAACTGAGAACTGGTCAGTGCTGTGCCTAAAATGCGTGCCTCTTCCTAAAGCCTCCATTTGTCTTGAAGTGTTAAGGGAGGAAATTCCAATAAGTTAGCCAGCAATTCAAAACATTATTTTTATGCTAAACATGGCTCTAACATGGAGAAGAATGCATAATGTGAGGGCATTTTTAATGTAAAGCGGGATTTCAGGGCCCTGGAAGCCTCTCTCCTGCCCCTTTGGGTACTGAGGTGGGGTGGCTCCCTGAGCGACAGCCTTGCTCCCCGGCAGCCTCTTGTCCACCGTGCACTGCCACCAGGCCACCCCCATTCTTCCCCAGCACCCACTCTCTGTCCTTTGAACTCCCACTGCATCCCCTGCCCTCTGGCTCTCATTTGCCGTTTTGTAAAGCACATTGCACTGTTCTTTTCCTTTTCATGGGTGGTATCCAGTCTTTCCAGGAAAATCAGTGGTTCTTTGCAGATAAGAGCCCGGCTACTGCTTGTCAGCATGACCCAGAGCAACATCCTGCATGTGATACACACGCAGAGAACATCTGCTGATTATTTTGAGGGCCCATCGTTTGGGGCCATCCATGCAAAAAAAGCTTAGGGCACTTTGAGTGACACAATGTCCTGTAAACTCTAGCTTTGATTGGCTAAGACTAGTTTGTCACTGGGGAGAAGGGAAATCTATAAGGAAATCTGTCATTTGTGCAGACATGCATAGCTATGTTGTCATCTTAAAGTGACTAGGCATGCTTCCTGTCCAACCCGCTCTGCCAAGCTATTTATTTATCCCTCAGATCTCGCCTCCCAGATGAGGTCGAATACCCTTCTTATATCTGTTCTGAATACCAGGAAGCTCTCCTCGGTAGCACTTACACATAGCTTACATGTACGAGTATTTGGGTGATGCTTAATCACCCATTTCTTTTCTTTGCATTGGGTCTGTGTCCCCAGCACCTAGCTGGCTGCCTGTCTCACCACAGGCAATTAATAAATGCTAATCAAATGACTGAATAAATGCTCTCCTATTCTAGCCAATGACAAGAACCTCCCACCAGTATCCGAGTTGTCCTGTCAGAGGATCACTCAGGGAGGGGTGCTGGGCTGACTGCCACTCCTGATTAATCCGGGAAACCAGCGCTCAGGGTAAGAGCCCCTGGGAGACCCCCAGGCCAGCCCTGGCGATCACAGGACTAATGGCGCTGAGTCAGGGAGGAACCGCTGTGGTTTTCCCAGCTCAGCCTGGTTCAGTTCCCGTCCTGCACTGCCATCTCCAGGGCACCAGGGCACTCTCCAGGATGATCAAAGGCACAGCAAACTTGGCTGGGAAATGCAAAATCACCCTGGTAATCAGGGCTTTTCATCCGAGAAAGGTCAGAGCACTTGAGAAGCATTTGCTCATCATTATATTCCCTTTGCTGTGCAGGGGTGACACCCAGCACTCATCTGCTACGCTAGGAGCTGGCATGACCACAGGGCCGAGACAGGCGTGCCCTAGACCAGCGCTTATCCCAGGGCAATGTGCCTGGCAGCACCCAATAGGCTGAGGCAGGCCTGAGTCTGCATTTCTAGCAACCCCCAGATGTTGGTCCCGCTGGTCTGATGCTACGGGCGACTTTGACATTTGAAATGGGGTCCAAGGGAGAGTTTTGCTACTCACGATGCAGCCTCAGCATCACCTGCGAGCTGGGAGCAAAACAGAGCCTCAGGCCCCACCCGTGGCCTCCGGTATCAGTCTCAACATTTGACCCAACTCCCGGGTGACTCAGGCACAGTAAAGTCTGACACTCTGCACTGGAACACTGGTCCTCAAGCCTATCCACAGGTTGAAATCACCTGCGAGGCCTTTAAAAATTACTGACGTGGGAATCCCTAAAGACCGATTTAGTCTGTATTGGGTGCAACCTGCTGCTCAGGGATGTTTGAAACTCCCCCGTTGATCCTAATATAAAGTCAAGTCTGCTTTATGTTAGAAATCCCGTCCATGACTTGAATCCTGGCTCTACCTCGTACCTGTGAAATGGGCCTGAGGGGTGCTGTGAGGACGGTGTTCACATTTGTAAGGTGTCTGGAGTGTCACAGGGGCTCGACGAGCAGCAGTTCGGAGGTCCAAGAGCACCCTGCCAAGTGAACTGAGTAAATCCACAGGTTCACTCAGCAGGGTTTATCGGATGCCTCCTGTGGGCTGAGCCAGCTGGGTGCTACAAACACAGCTTCAAAGGAGAGGTACAAGGCTCAGGAGTGGGCAAGACAGGCTGTAAACCATAATCTGAGCTGGTGACGAGGGCTGTGGAGGCACTAAAACAGGATCCTGCAACGGAGGGCTGCATGCTACTTTAGGACATATTGTTGCAGGAGGCCTCTCCAAGGGACATCTGAGCATGAACCAGGTCATGAGGACTCTAATCCCAAAGCCCCCTTCCATGTGGCTGAAGCAAGGAGGGTAGGAAGGATGGGGGGAGGGGAGGAGGCTGGGGACTCGGCCACTCAGTCCCAGTCCCTGTTCCACCCTGGGACCTGGGGCGAGTCACTTCGTCTCGAAGCACCATTTTCTCCATCTGTAAAAAGAGCCAAGATCACCTGTGTACTGATTCAAAAACACAGCTTCAAAAACCTTTGACACCCCTCCCTCCATCGAGAGATGGGGTTTCTGTCCCCTCCCCTTAAATCTGGGCGGGTTTCTGACTGCTCCAACCAATGAAGTATAAGAAGAGAGACTACGTGACTTCTGCGGGTAAGCCCTCAAAGGCAGTGGTTTCCACCTGCTTCTCTTGGGAGCAGAGCCGTCAGAAGCCCAACCACCCTGAGGCCACCATGCTGAAGAAGCCCCAGGTGGGCACTCCCGATGACAGCCCGCATCACCCGCCAGCCAGGCGAGGTGAGTGAGCCAACTTGAATGTCCGGCCCCGTCCAGTCTCCAGGTGCCCACAGCCCCCACCAACATCCGATGGTACCGCATGAGACGCCAAGAAGGAACTGCCTAGCTGAGCCCTCAACAAAATCCCAACCCATCACATTGCAAGCCAGGTAAAATGATGGTTTTACCCCAGTAAGTGTGAGGGTAATCTGTCCCGCAGTTAGAGTAATGGGAGCACCGATCTGCCTTCATTTTGAAACCTCTCCCTTACTCACCTGGACTGTTTCCTGTTCCTCCAACATTCTGGACCGGCTCTGGCCTCAGGGCCTTTTGCACCAGTGTCCTCTCTCTCTGGGCTATTCCCCCGTCCCCGGTCGCCATGTTTTTGCAGCACTTCCACCACCTGATGCTGTTCTGTTTGTTGACTGACTGCCCCCCTCTCCAGAATAGAAAGTCCGTGAGAAGAGAGCGCCTTTTCCTGTACCCGTCGCCTCTATACTCCCTGCTCCTTGTATAATGCCCTGCATGAAGCCAGCATGGATACACGTTTATTAAATACATGAGAAGGACACAGCCGTGAGCCCACGAGCGGGAAGAGCATGTCTGTCGGAGGGAGCACAGGAAAAGCCAGGAGGCCGGTGCCTTCTAGGTAAGACAGGCAGCTGGGGCTGCAGGGGTTCCAAGTGACACAGGCAGGGGTGCGAGAGGCTGCGGCCTTACAGAACATGGAAAAGAGAGTCAGGCAGAACGTGCCCTGATGGAGGAGAGGGTGACGTACGCAGCACATACAATGCACCATTTTGAAGCGTCCGGTTCAGTGGCCCTGAGCACACTCGTATTGCTGTGCAGCCGTCCCCAAGGTCGTCTCCAGAACTTCCTCACCTTCCCAAACTGTGACTCCGTCCCCGTTAAACACTCACCCCCCAGCCCCTGGCACCCGCCCTTCTCCTTTCCGTCTCTATGAACTTGACTCCTCTAGGGACCTCCTGGGAGTGGAATCATGCAGCACTTCTCCTTCTGTCTGCATCATTTCACTTGCACCATGTCTTCCAGGTCCATCCATGTTACAGCACATACTGCGATAAAATATACGTAACACGAAGTTTACTTTGTCGCTAAATGTTACAGGCTGAATGGCATTTACACCTCGTGGAAACACATTGTATCCACTCATTCATTAGCACGGGGGGCGGGGGCTGATGTGTTTAAAGGGTCTTTCTTTGGCGGCCAGGTGGAGACTGTCCCCAGGGAGCAACACGGGCCTGGGGACCCCGAGCAGCTTGGGCAGGTCAGTACTTCATTTTCGTGACCGCATCTCAGCCCCATCTCACAGGCGAGGGCCCCGGGGGCCGAGCGGCTAGGCCACCTGCCCAGGACACGCCCCTGGGATAGGACAGGGCCAGGACACAGCTGCCCGGCCCTTACCAGGTCTGCCTCTTGGTCGCCATCCTTCCCGAGCCGGCCTCACGACCCCACCCTGGCACAGCGGCCCGCCCCACATGCGAGCGCGCAAGCGCCACAAGAGGAGCCGCACGGTGCATGCGCAGAAGGCGCACAGCGCGGAAGGCTCCGCTCCCTCGGGTGTGAATCCGCGATCCGGGGTTTTGGCCCCGCCGGGAACTCTGTTTATAAACACACCGCGAGGCAGCCAGCGAGGGGGTAACCCTAAAGGTAGTGGGGTCGGAGGTCAGAGGTCAACGGAGGCGCCGGCGGGGAGACCCATCACTTCACCTTCACAAGCTGCTGACTGCGTGCCGTGCCCATCCCAGCCATCCTACCGCGGTGCAGGGCCGCTAAGGGCGCCACGTGGTGCGCACGTGGTCCCTTCCCGGCGCAGCGGCCTCCCCTCCCCCACGGCGCCGGCGGACCGCAGCGCCCCCTGGCGGTGGCCTGGCGCGCCACGCTACACATCGCGCTTGCGCACAACGCCGCACGACGTGTCTTCCGGTCTGCACGGGAGCTGGGCGTGGGTCGGCCGCGTCCTCGTGACAGCGCGCGTCAGCCGTGTCCGGGGTCCCGGCAGGGTGGGGCGACCCGCCAAGGTCACACGAGCAGGCTGGCGGAGGCTGCAAGGCCGCAGGAGGCGCCTCCAGCCCCCCACGTGTGTCCCGAGGCCGGACCTGCCCCGCGGGCGGGGGGGCGGGGTTGCGCGGTGAATGAACCCGCGCGCGCCGATCGGACCGGAGGGGCCCAGGGCCCTGCTGCCGTCGCCCCCAACCTGGGTTTCAGTTTCTGCTCTGAGTGCGCAGGAAAAGGCTCAGTGCGTGTTTAGTAAATACGTATACGGATGGTGAATCGGTTAATTATTTAAATATTCAAGAAGTTGTTTCCGGTTTTTTTATTCTATCACCTACTCTATAATGAGAGTCTACATGAAAAGCACTGGCTGGGTCTGTAGTGGTTGTTATGGCTGTTGCTTTTTTTTTTTTTTTTCATGCAGTTCAATGGAGATACTTTTTTTGTTGTTGCTTTTTTGGGATTTTTTTTTTTTTTTTTCCTTAGACTTTATACCGTGAAGTCCAAAAAGATTTGAGGGGCTTACAGAGATTAAAAAACAAACAAACTTCCATGAGTTTTCCTGCTGTTTTATCGTAAAGGCTCACAATTGCATATTGCCCCTGCTGGATGTTCTGTAAAGTTAGTATTCCTCAGAAGTTTACTCTTTTCAGCAGCATTTTTTTAAATACCTACTATGTGCCAGACACCGATCCAGGGACATGGCTCTAAACATGGGTCACATCTAGGTAAAAGGAAATCTGAAAGTGGTTAAGTTATAAAGGAAACCCAGGAAGTACGCTAAAGATCAGGCTGTTCAACAACTGGCTCGGGGGGAATGCATATGTACATAACGCACGTTTATTATAAATTTTACTGGTACAAAGCATGCGCAGCCCACTAGGTATAAAAAATGAGAAAACGTAACAATGTCCTTGTAAACCCCGCAGAGCCAATTGATTCTCAGATATTCCTAAGGACGCTTTTGCTTATTTTTGCTGAACTTTGTATCCATAGCCAACCTATGATTGAAATTCAACTGCAATCTGTCAGACGGAGTTACCTCCCAACCCACTAGTTTTCCAGCAAATTTATTGTCATTAAACATAGTCCGTGATAGGAACGTTGGTTGATACTACAAAACATTAAGGAGTAAGACAGAAACAAAGCCAGAAAAGACCGATCTTTATTCTTCAGTAACGTGAGCTAACGTGGATCCACACAGGCCCAGGTTTCCAGCCCAGGCCTGCACTCTTGATTTCCTTCCCATTTTAACGCCTCTGTGCCTTGTCACCTTCCTCTCACTGCCCAAGCCTGCCCTTGCTTCTGCTGTGGTCCAAAGAGCCCCACTCAACCTGCCCAAAGTTTCGCTAAGGCTGACAGCCGTGTCCCTGTTCACAGGCCTGCATGCTTCTCCAAGCCACAGAGGCCTGGAGGCCCAGAGCCTTGGCCCGCCACGGAGGAGCCCCTCCCTGCACCCCTTCCTGGGAAGTGTACACTTCACTGGCCCTGCCCCTAGCGCCTTTGCTTTTATCTGCGAGATGTCACAAAAGAAAACAAGGGCCTTGGCCCCAGTCCCAGCCCCTAGCGAGCGCTTTGCAGACCCAGCAGCCCCCTCTGCCTACCCCAGGGAAAGCTCCTGCTAATCACTGCCCAGCGTGCAGGCAGACCGATGTTCCCAGACCGGCTCAGGTCGTGAGGTTGGCCTGGCAAAGATGAAACCGCGCAGGCATGAGGGTTAGATTCCCAGCCAGCAGCCGTTTTCTGCTGAACAAAGGCCTGGCCAGCCCGGGAGCTCATGCTGCTGCTCTATTGAAATCTGGAGGTGGTTCCCTATTAATCACTCCCTTTGGTGCCTCAGAGGCCAAAAAAGGAGTCAAACAAAACCTCTTTTCTAAGCAGGAAGAGGGTTCCAGAGGCCTAAGTAGAAAGATCCCCACAACCCCTCTCGCCAGCATAACTCTAACAAGGTGCTGGGGCCTCCCAGACTTACACGCACAAATAAGAATAGCTGCCTGGCTGCCTGGAGGGGAATTTGGAATGTGACCAGTTCCGCTGTGGGCTCCAAAGGCTCCATGCAGGAGGCAGGGCAGCGAGCGAGGGGGCTCTCGGGCATGCGGCCCTTTCTTGTTTTATTTTAGAAACCAGAGACCCAATTAAATGATTTTTTAAAAGGCGACTCATACTAGGAGGATGGGAGAGAAAATCAGCCTATTTCCCTTCCCCTCAGAAGTAACCTTGACTCTCAGCCCCTTTGTCTCTCCTCGCCCCCCCCCCACCCCACGATGCTAAGTACGTTGCGTTAACCGATAACTGAGAGTGCATTGTTCACTCACCTATAAATATGAAGTTCAGCTTGTCTTTTATTAAACAGAAGACACAGGCCAAAACACCAAGCCATGGCTTCCCCTGCAGGTCCTCATCCCCTGGAGACCAGGCCTGTTACCTGTGGGCCTGTTTGGATTGTCTTGGTAGAGAGAGAAAAACAGTCTTTTTACCCAGAAGCTGTGGCTCCTTCAGGCATGAAGATCAACAGTCCTAGATTTTTACACCTCTGAGTAGAAGCCCGTTTTCTTGCATTAAAATTTAATTTCAAAAAGAGGAAAGGGAAAAAAGCTGGCTGAAAGAGCATTTCAGTGCCAACCGTTCACAATGGCGAGCAGGAGTGCACCTGAAACCAGCCAAAGCATTTGCTTGGGAAATCAGGGTCAGCAGTTCATTGCGAAGGCATCATGCTCAGCCTGCAAGGCAGGCGTGTGCTTCATGCCTGGATTTGGCCAGCCTCGGGCACAGCAGTTGTCTTGTGACTCTAAAACAGAGATGGCATAGCCAACAGGGAGGATGGGGACCGGGGAGCATCATCACCTTAGACAGTCCCCACAGTGCTGCCACCCAAGAGGACAGACGCTCTTCTGACAAAGAAAAGAAACCTGAGAAACAAGTCATGGGACTTGATTTGGGACCGGCAATGCCTACTTATTCTCTAAATGACCGGACCTCACCCACAGTAGCTGCAGATAGTCTAG